CTTACTCGCCGACGGTGTGTTGGTGCCCCATCTGCGGGCAGCGTGCTCGCGACGACCGGTCGTGCAAGATTGAGGATTGCCATCAGTTCCGCCCCATGCGCCGTGGAGCACGCTTTAAGGTGAAGCGGATGCGGAACTTATCGGGGCTGTCGCGAACTGCTTCGGTGACTTCGTGCAGGGCGGTTGCATCGCGTCGCTGCGTCACAGGCGCGACGTTCGCATGGGTATAACGGCAGGTAGGGTGCTTCGGGAACATTTCGCTGCCTCTGGCGCGCTGCGTTTGGAGATTATCTGCGTTTCCCTGCTACTGGAGGTGGCCAGTCGCGTGCGTCCTCGACCATTTGCTGCGGCGCAAGGGCGAACTCCTGGTGGCCGACGCACAGGGCCGAGCAATTTTGTACGAACGTGCGTGGCGAGAGGCCATGGTGATTCTTCAACCAAATGATTTTTCGGTCGTATGCAATGGCAACGAGGGCACCGTGGACATCATGCCGCGACGTCAGGTGCGTGCTTTGGGCGGCGGCGCCGCTGGCATCTTTTCCTACCACCTCGTGATGAATCCGACCAAGAGGAGACTAGCGGAGGAGGAGTTGATCCTTATGGCGGAATTGCGAGGTGGCCGTTTGGAGGATACCACGAAGAAGCTGGCGGCATCCTTTGCTGCCTCTGGCGCACCTGCTGCCTCTGGCGAATCGTATGCCACTTGCGAGGTGCATCTGCGTTGTGTACGGTTGTGGGCGAATGCGATTTCTGCGCGCACAACGCTTTTGCGCCGGCTTTTCAAGGCAGAGGATGTTCGGCCGACTTTATCCGAGAGGGATTGGGATTTGCTTGCTGGCATGGGCTCTGGCGCGGAAAAGGGGGTTGCGGCTGCCGGGGATCTCCGGTACCAGGACGCCGTCGAAGTTTGCCATTTCATATTTGAGGACGTCTGGCCTGCCTCTGGCGCCACGTGCGACCTGGATGATATGATGTGCTTCCTCTGTCTTTCTCAGAACACTAAGGAGGTGATCGGGCGTGAAGAGGTGCCGCAGCCAGCACGTCCTGTTACTGCAGCGGGTGACTTGGGCATCGTCTCTGCACGTGCGGAGGTTCCACGCCAGAGGCTATGCGCAAAGCAGGCTGAATTCCCGAGCCCCGCTGCTGCCGCGGATTCTTCGGCTGCCTCTGGCGCCGCCTCTTCCGGTGGTACTCCCCCTAGTCATAAGCGCCCGCGTTGGCGTGCTGGAGTTGCGCGGCCACTGCTCAAATGGCACGTCGGCTGGGCCAGTAGTCTTTCGAGCGTCATGCACTCCTTGTCGTTTGTTGCGCAGGCGCTATTTGCTCGAAGTTCACGATTCGAGCTGCGCGAAACCATGCCTCATGTGCGGGGGCGGGGTCCGAGTGCTGGGGCGCCGTTCGCATGCGCTTGCAGATAATCTTCATCGCGGACATGCCTCATGCAGCATTCACTGCCTCTGGCGTGGGACTGTGTACAGTGCATCGCGCTCTCGGGGGCGCCGTGGATTTGCGCGAATACCTCTCTTCGCGGCCGTTTCCGGCAGAAATGCAACTTCTGTGCGCGGCGCTCGCGCGGCGCGCGCTCAAGTTTGCGCCGAGCGAGGATCACGTCGAAGCTCTGGCCGAGCACTTCCGCGAAGGAGGGTGTTTGCACCTTCATGGCGTTGACGCGGTGGGGCGCTTCTTTGCGATGCGCATGCCGCGTTGACAGTTGCTGCGTCTGGCGCAAATCTGAGGCTGCCTCTGGCGCCCCTTGATTCTTTCGCAGATTTCGTAGAGACCTCTCTTATGTGTTAGCTCATGATAAAAAGATCTCCCTGTGAATGTGCATCTGCTCCACCCCATCCTCATGCGAGCTCCCGTTTGATCCTCGCACTGCTTCCGACATCGGCCTGACCTTCTGTAGTCTGACCAGCTCCTTACACTGCTCCGAGGTCATCTCCATCCTCAGCTTCGCTCCCGCCCTCAGCTTTCTCATGGTCGCCCGCTGCTCCGAGGCTATCTTCATCCTCAGCTTCGCCCCCGCCTCGCGCCGCTCACCCTTGCTTGCGCCCTCTACTGCGTGCTCTTTGTCAGCCCCGCCCTCGCCCTCGCAGCCGCCGTCGTTGTCGTCTATCGCAGCCTTTTTCGGCTCGAATGCGCCTCTTTTCTTGGCGGCCGCCATCGCGCGCATCGCGCGCGTTATCATGGGGGGGCGCGGGCGCAGCTCGCAACCGGCTGCCTCTGGCGCCGAGGGCGGTTGCGATGGGGCGGCGGTGGAAGACCTGGCGGGCCGTTTGCTGCGGTGGAAGAATGAGCACCCAGCAGGAGATTATGTTGGGCGGCCGCTCCGCCAACTCAGCGCTCCGTCCGCGGGCCTTTCTGGCGCCCTTGGCGGGCGCGTGGAAGGAGGGGTTTACGCGCGGATGTGGGGCGGCAAGTTCCTGGGCGACGCAGTCTCGATTCCCATGTCTCGGCGAATTCCTCCGCTCGCCGAGCCAGTTGGCAAAGAGCCCAAGTTGCATGTGCACGATGCCGGTCCTCTTGGCCGCTGCCTCTGCCGCGACGACGCAGCGCGCGATGAGTGTTGACCACGTGGCCGCGTTGACAATTGAGCGTCCTCTCGTGGCGACGCTCCTGTTCCATCGCAAGGGGAAGGGGTGCAAGAGCGCGCGGGATAGTCGAGGCCGCGCAAACGATGGCGACCAGAGCCCCTGCAGCATTTCAGTCTGTTTGGCAGGGAGTGGGCAGGTCTTTTACCTGGGCCTTGCCACGAAGAGCATCCACAAGGACATGTTTTGTCTTTGGCGGCATCCGAGAGGTCCAGGCTGGACTGGCGCGCGCGCCAGGGCTGCGCGGCAGGTGTTCTTCGACGTCTGCGAGCTGGATGCGCAGAGCGTCTTTCCCATGGGCGAGGGTGGGTCGTGGGCGAGCGGCGACCCCAAAGCTGCCTCTGGCGCGCTCGCGGGACCAGGCGGCGAGGAGCCCACGGAGGCGGGACGGAAGAAGACTGGACCTAAATATCCAGTCGACTTGGCGACAGAATCCGACGACTTCGAGCGGGAATCCGATTCTTCGGAGCAGAGCCGCTCCGCTGCCGACAACGACAGCAGCTATGGGAGCAAAACGGACCGCGCAGGCTCTGACGGGGAAGACGTTGCCTCTGGCGCGGAGCGTGGTGCTGCGTCTGGCGCAGTGCGTGGTGCTGCCTCTGGCGCAATGCCTGCTGCCGCCTTTGGTACTGTTTCTCCTGCTGCCTGTGGCGCAACGCGGATTGCTAAGTTGAAACAGCTCCATTTTACGGATTACCGAGGTTGGCCAAGGGAAGCAGTAGTTTGGTTGTGCAGTGCAAACCTCACGAAGAGGAGGCGACGTCGCGTCTCCAGCCTCATCGCCCTCCTGCACGAGCAATGCTTTCCCATTCCGAACCCTTCAGATACCATCAACGGCATAGAGCACTTCAGCGACAAGGTCGAGTGCCAGGATGAGCGGTGGGACATTGTGAAGGCTTTCGGGTCGCAGAAGGTGCGTCATCTGAAACTTTTCAGGGAGGACTTCAAAAACGCTTCTCTCGCGGAGGAGCGTTGGCTTACTCACGCCTGGCCACGCTTGAAACCTGCCTCTGGCGATGGTCCGCTCGCCCAGTGCTTGCCGCGGGGTTCGCCCGCGTGGAAGTTGCTTCGCGATGATTGGTCCACCGAGACCGTTCCTGACTTCTTGAAGCACTTGTTAAACAAGCACGACGGGGAGGTCAGAGTCCTCCAGGACTTCGGTTGGAAGTTTCTGGAACCTCTCGATGTTCTTCACCCGAGACTCTGGCATTCCCAGTTCGCAAGGGCCGAGGAAACGCGGAGGTGGGTGTGCAATCGGAAGTCCGAGGGCTGGCCCACGTGGAAAGAGGCTGCGTTGAATTTGGACACAGATGGTGGCCAGACGACGCTGCTCCGTCGGGCCTTCACGCCTCCTTGGAGATCCGCTGCCCCTGGCGCGACGCCTCCGTGGAGACGTGACTTCGATGTGGACACCCGAGTTGGTCAAGTCGTCACGCTCGCCCAGTTGTTCTACATGGGCGCACAGTTGTGCACTGCTTTTGATATGTACAAGTTTTACATGGATCTGCCGATCCTTGTCCACAAGCAGAAGCGCAAGTCGAAATTCGTTTGGGACTCCGCGACCCGGAAATACATCAAGAAGGAGTGAGCGGGGGTGTGACCGCTTCCAGCTGCCTCTGGCGCTGATACCCTTTCACACAGCAACGGTTCGCAGGCTGCCTCTGGCGCTGATATCCTTTCACGCAGCAATGGCTTGCAGGCTGCCTCTGGCGCTTCCTTCTTTTGGCGTAGGGTTCTCCCGACTGGGGCTCCGTGCTAGGTTCTCTGGGCTGCTCCGCTGGTGCGCAGCCGCGCGCGGGAAAGAAGGGCAGGCTCATGCGCTGCTGCTGCTGCCAGCTGCTGCTGCTGCTGCTGCTCCGCCTCTTCCAGCTTCTCCTGCTGCTGCTGCTGTTGCTGCTGTTCCACCGCCTCCTTCAAGCCGCTGCCCCTGCTTCTTCTGCTCGTGCTGCTGCTGCTGCTGCTCCTCCTCCTCCGACTCATCCTCCTTAGGCTGCTCCTCAATGCTGCTGCTGCTGTTGCTGCTGCTGCTAGTGCTGCTGCTCCTCCTCCTCCTCCTCATCCTCCTGCTTCTCTCTCGCTGCTGCTGCTGCTGCTGTTGCTGCTCCTCCTCCTCGGCCTCCCTCTGTTGAGGCTGCCCCCCAATGCTGCTGCTTCTGCTGCTGCTGCTGCTTGTGGTGCTGCTGCTGCTGCTTCTCCTCTTCTTGCTTCTCCCGCTTCTTCTCCTGCTGCTGCTGCTGCTCGTCCTCCTCCTGCTGAGGCTGCTCCTCAATGTTGCTGCTGCTTGTGCTGCTGCTGCTCGTTGTGGTGCTGCTGCTGCTCCTCCTCCTCCTCCTCCCCCTGCTCCTCCCGCGTGTCCGTCGCACTTGCAGGCTCGAGCCGGGAAGGCGCGACCGCGGCGCGTTTGCCGCGATGAGTCGCCGCGGCGGCCAGCAGCAGGCGCGCTTTCAGAACGCTGCCTCTGGCGCGGACTCTGTTGAGAAGAACTTCGACGCGGTGTCGGTAACCGAGTCCTGGAGGACCTGGCGGGTTGGGCATCCCATCCGAGCTGGTGGCGGGGTTGCTTTCGCGCTGGCTCCTCGGCCAGGGCCGGGCGGCCAGAGACCGCGTTGCGCGTGCGCCAATGTCGACTTTGGCAGGGTTGTCCAGGAATGGTGGATGCCGCCGTTCTTCGCGCCTACTGCAGAGGTGCCCCAAGTGCATGGAAGCATCAGTGGCAAGGCGGCGCGTTGCCCGAGTACTCCGCTGCCTCTGGCGCGGCTGGGGGGCCGTTGACGCACATGCGCTGCGCGAACGTCCACGGGATCTGGGCTTCGGCGCCCGCCCGCCCCATGGTCATTGCGTCGCAAAAATACAAAGCAGACAAAGAACGCGACCCAGCTGAGTTTGATCAGTTCGGTCGCGCGGTCAAATACCACCAGAGCATATTTGACCTGATCCTGTCGGCGTCGGCTCGCGTGGAGATGCTCATCGGGTGCTCTGTGAACGATGCCGCCAAAAGGGTGTCTGGGCGCACTTCTGGGCTGCTCGGTTTGTGGTGGAGACCTGCTCCTAGAAAGAAGCTCTCGAGGGGGCAAGGGGATGTGGCGAGGTCAGTCTTTTTCGACTTGGTCGAAGCCGCCCACCGCGTGCCCGACATGTGCGCCGCGGAGTATGACGCTCTCTCTGGCGTCTCCGCTGCCTCTGGCGCGTCCGCTGCCTCGGTGCGTCCGCTGCCTCTGGCGCGTCCGCCGCTCCTGCTGCTGCAGCTGCTGCGGTTGCTGCTCCTGCGCCAGCTCCTGCGCCACTCCCGCCGCCTGCTCCTGCGCCGGCTCCTGCGCCAGCCAGCGTGAGCGGCGGCGGCCGCGCCGCTACTCCACCAGTCACGCCGTGGCCTGCGCCGCTGGCGTGGCCGCCGCAGGCGGCGCCAAAGGTTTATGCGAAGAAGGCGCCGCTTCCGCTGCATCAGAAGGCGGCGCCGCCGCCTGCCGCGGCGTCTTCGCAGGATGCCAGCACCGCTGCCTCTGGCGCGCGTGTAAAAATGCCACCCGCTGCCTCTGGCCCGCGGGCGAGCGCCGCTAAGGCTGCCAGCTCGCCGCCGCCGCCGCCGGCCGCCAGCTGGCCAGCAGATTCGGCGACGACGTGGCCTCAGTTGCCGCCGCCGCCGCCGCGTCATTCTCCCCGAGACGTGCCAGAGCCGCCGCCGCCAGGGCAGCTTCCCCTGACTCCCGCGCCTGCTCCTGCCGCCGCGCCGCTCTTGCTTGCCTCTGGCGGCTATCCGGCGCCTTCGGCAGCGACGGCCTTGGGCCCGCTTGCTTGGCCTCCGCCTGCCTTGGCCAGTGCGATCGCGGCGCCTCCGCCTGCCTTGGCCAGTGCGATCGCGGCGCCTCCGCCCGCTGCAACAGGGGGCGCGCCTCCGCCTCCTCCAGCTCCTGAGCTGGGCCGCTCGTCTTTCGACGAGGGCGTCAACGGCGACGCAAGCGAGTCGACCGTTACGATGCGACGGGGGAGACAACTCGAGCCCTCCGAAGAGCGGCGGAGCAGGATGCGTTCCAGAAGCGTGCAGAGACCGACCGAGGAGGATGTTGCTTCCTCTAGCTTATCAGAGGACGAGCGGGAGGATGCTGCCTCTGGCGCGCCCGAGCATGCTGCCTCTGGCGCAACGGAGGAAGTGAGCCTGACGACTCGTCCCTCTGAGGGGAAGCTCAGACGATTGCCCGACGAACGCAAGGCCGAGCTTCGCAGCGTCGTCCGAACGTGCGCCAGGCAGCAGCACTTCGTCGACAACAAGGAGCGTTGGGAAACCGACGCCCAAGCTCGCGTCCGAGACTGGCAAATGCCGCAGCTCGAGGACAGAGACGCCGTCCGCATGCAGAGAAATCTCGACTGGTTCTGCGAGCCCGTCCCCACATGGAGGCAGTTTCTCGAAGGCGTCCCCCACCGAAACGACAACCCAGATAACGCAGGGCAGCCGGGGCCCGTCGCGCGCGCGCTGGCCTCCAACAAGCAGCGCTACAGGCGGCGGCTGTGGGAGGAGCTGAGGGCTGCTGACGCTGCCCCTGGCGCGCCCTTCGCCGAGGCATGCCCGAATGCCGTGCTCGGCGACGGGTGGGCGGCGCTGACGCCAGACGCCTTCGAGGCATCGAAGCGCAAAGCAGGGATTCCCGACGACGATTCCGACGTCAAGCACATCCTCGAGAAGCGCAGCGGCGAGGCGCGGCACAGGGGGGAACGCGGGTGGAGGGATGTGCTTTCTAAATTCGCGGGCAATCTCTGCCGCGTCAGGTTCTGGCATCACCAGTGCGACGCGAGCGAAAGGGCGCGTGATTACCTGGCCTGGAAGAACGCTACCAGGGATGCGGACTTCCTGCCTCTGGCGGAGATGAAGTGGATCCTGGGCGTGGATGGTGGCGAGGCCGCGCTTCTGAAGTGCGTCTACGACGACTCTGCCTCTGGCGAGACGTGGTGCATCAGGACAGGGCAACTCGTGACGCTGGCGGAGGTGTTCAGCTACGGGTGCCGCCTTTGCTCGTGCCACTTCCTGCGCGCGTTGCGCCTCCGACAACCGACATTCGCGAAGAGGAAGGGGCGCAGCGAGTCGCAGACGGAGGAGGCTATTCTCAAGAAGAATACTCGGCGCCTGCGCTATCAGGAGACAGGGCGCCGGGGCCTGCCCGGGCGGCGAATGCGAGGGCGTGGCCTTGCTGAGTAGCTGCCTCTGGCGCTTCTTTCCTGGCAGAACCCTCTGAATAGCTGCCTCTGGCGCTTGCTTACTTTTGCGCGCGGCGCGTCGCTGCTTTCGCGGCTGCCCGTCGGCCGCGCTTCCGCATGCGAGCCCGCCTGCCTGCGCGCGGGCGAGAGAAATTACGCCGCCGTCGTCATCGCCGACATCGCCCTCGTCGTCGCCATCAGCACCCGCATCATTGCGCTCTCTGTGCGCTGATCTCTCTGTGTACATTTCGTTTTCCTGTTTACTTTTCTCCTGATAGTGATGAGTTTTTTTTCTCGTGGTGTAGTTACCGCCGGGGTCTAGTTCTTCCATGGTCGGGTCTAGTTTTTCCTGTGGTCGGGTCTAGTTTTTCTCTGGTCGGGCTTAGTTTTCCCCTGGTCGGGTCTAGTTTTCCCCTGGTCGGGTCTAGTTTTTCCTTTGGTCGGGTTTAGTTTTTGTTCTGGTTGGGTTTAGTTTTTCCCTGGTCGGGGTTAGTTTTCTTTTGGTCGGGTCTAGTTGTCGGGTTTAGTTTTTCTCTGGTCGGGTTTTGTTTTCCTTGGTCGGGTTTATTTCCCCCTGGTCGGGTTCAGTTTTTCTTTTGGTCGGGTGTAGTTTTTTTCCCTGGTCGGGTCTAGTTTTCTCTTGGTCGGGTCTAGTTGTCCCCTCATCGGGTCTTTTTTTTTCGCTGGTCGGGTTTAGTTTTCCTTTGATCGGGTTTAGTTTTCCCGTGATCGGGTATAGTTTTCTTTTGGTCGGGTCTAGTTTTTCTTTTGGCCTGGTCTATTTTTTCTTTGGTCGGGTCTAGTTGTCCCATCGTCGGGTCTAATTTATCCTTTGGTCGGGTTTAGTTTTTCTTTGGTCGGGTTTAGTTGTTCCGTGGTCGGGGTTTGTTTTCTCCTGGTCGGGTCTAGTTTTTTTCTTTTGGTCGGGTCTACTTTTTGCTCTGGTCGGGTTTGGTTTTTCCCTGCTCGGGCCCAGTTGCCCCCAGGTCGAGTCTAGTTTTTCTTTTGGTCTGGTATAGTTTTTCTTTGGTCGGGTTTAGTTTTTCACTGGTCGGGTCTAGTTTTCCTCTGGTCGGGTTTTTTTTTTTTTTTTTTTTTTTTTTTTTTTTTGGTCGGTTTAAGTTTTTTCCGCTGGTCGGGTGGTAGTTCTTTCCCTAGTCGGGTTATTTTTTTTCTTTGGTCGGGTTTAGTTTTTTTGTTGGACGGGTTTAGTTGTCTCATGGTCGGGTCTAGTTTTTCTTTGGTCGGGTCTAGTTCCCCCTTGGTCGGGGTTATTTTTCCTCTGGTCGGGTTTTAGTTTTTCTCTGGTTGGGTTTAGTTTTTCCTTTGGTCGGGTCTCGTTTTTCCGTGGTCGGGTCCAGTTGTTTTCCCTGGTCGGGTCTAGTTTTCCCTTTGGTCGGGTCTGGGTTTTTTTCCGTTGGTGGGGTCTAGTTTTTCTGTTGGTCGGGCTTAGTTTTTCTTATGGTCGGGTCTAGTTTTCCCCTGGTCGGGTTTTGTTTTTCTTCTGGTCGGGTGCATTTCTTCTTTGCTCGGGTCTAGTTTTCCCTTCGTCGGGCCTAAGGTTTCCATTGGTCGGGTCTAGCTTTTCCTTTGGTCGGGTTTAGTTTTTCTCTGGTCGGGTCTAGTTTTTCCTTGGTCGGGTATGTTTTTTTTTTTTTTTTTTTTTTTTTTTTGGTCGGGTTTAGTTTTTCCGTTGGTCGGGTTTAGTTTTTCCCTGGTCGGATCTAGTGTTTCTTTGGTCGGGTTTAGTTTTCTTTTGGTCTGGTTGATGTTTTCTTTTGGTCGTGTTTAGTTTTTCCTTGGTCGGGTGTAGCTTTCCCTTCGGTCCGGGTTCAGTTTTCCCTTGGTCGAGTTTAGTTTCTCCTTTGGTCGGGTCTAGTTTTTCGTTGGTAGGGTTGAGTTTTCCCTTGGTCGGGTCGAATTTTCCCTATGATCGGGTCTAGTTGTTCTTTGGTCGGGTTTAGTTTTTCTTTTGGTCGTGTTTAGTTTTCCCATGGTCGGGTTTCGTTTTTCTTTTGGTCGGGTATAGTTTTTCCTTGATCGGGTCTAGTTGTTCCTTGGTCGGGTCCTAGTTTTCCCGTGGTCGGGTCCAGTTTTTCATGCGGTCGAGTCTAGTTTTTTTTTTATCGGGTCTAGTTGTTCTTTGGTCGGGTCTAGTTTTCCCTTGGTCGGGTTTAGTTTTCCCTTGGTCGGGTCCAATTTTTTTTTGGTCGGGTTTAGTTTTTGCTTTGGTCGGGTTTAGTTTTTCCTTGGTCGGGTTTAGTTTTCCCTGAGTCGGGTTTAGTTTTTCCTTTGGTCGGGTCTGTTTTGTTTGTGGTCGGGTCTAGTGTTTCCTCGGGTCTAGTGTTCCCCTGGTTGGGTTTAGTTTTTTCCTTGGGTAGGATTTAGTTTTCTTTTCCCTGGTTGGGTCTAGTTTTCCTTTGGTCGGGTTTAGGTGTCCCCTGGTCGGGTTTAGTTTTTTTTTTTTTTGAGGGGGGTCGGGTCTGGTTTTTCTCTGGCCGGGTCTAGTTTTCCAGATTTTTTTTGTTGTTCCCTCCCTCTCTCTCTCTCTCTCTCTCTCTCTCTCTCTCTTGTTTCTCTCTCTCTCTCTCTCTCTTCTCTCTCTTTCACTCCATCTCTTTCTCCTCTCTTTCTCTCTCTTTTTCTCTCTCTCTCTTCTCTTCTCTTCTCTCTCTTTTTTTTTTTTTTTTTTTTTTTTTTTCTCTATCCTCCTCTCTCTCTCTCTCGTCTCTCTCTCTTCCTCTCTCTCTCTCTCTCTCTCTCTCTCTCTCTCTCTCTTTTCCGTTGGTCGGGTGTAGTTTTTGCTCTGGTCGGGTCTTAGTTTTTCTTTGATCGGGGCCGTGTCCCCTAGTCGGGTTTGTCTAGTTTTTCGTTGGTCGGGTCTAGTTTTCCCTTCGTCGGGTCTAGGTCGGGTCTAGTTTGTTCTGGGGGGGGTCGGGTCTAGTTTTTCTTTGGTCGGGTTTAGTTTTCCCTTGGTCGGGTTTAGTTTTCCTGTGGTCGGGTTTAGTTGTTTCCTTTGATCGGGTTTAGTTTTTCTGCGGTCGGGTCCAGTTTTTCCGTGGTCGGGTTAGTTTTTCTTTGATCTGATATAGTTGTTTTCGTGGTCGGGTCTAATTTTTCCCTGGTCGGGTATAGTTTTT